ATTCATAAATAGTATAAGTCATGGGGTTAGTATGTGGTGATATTTGGGTGTGGTAGAAATTGGGAAGGGAGTGCACAAATATCTGACATATGAGCAACTAGGCTTTGGAGTCGGACAAACTTGGGCTTGAATCACTGTCTACCACCTGCTAGATGCATGACCTTGAGCAGCTATCTAATCTAGTTCCACTAGATCTGTAATCTAGATCTGTAAAATCATGAGAATGTCAGTTCGTTATTCACTTTAGGTTTTGTGAAGACAATGCATGAAAGGCTGTAATGCATGGTCCTGGAACATACTCAAGAAAGTTAGCCATTATATTTTATTATTATGATTGTTGCCAGGAAACTGTGCTTATGTAAGCACAGTGCCTGGTACATAGCACACAGTAAAGTGTAACTGCTCCTATAATTGCTGTTTTTATCATTAGCATCATGTGTTAGTTTGTGAGTTTGTGTCTGCTCTGAAGCAGGTGTCCACATGGGATTAGATGTGCAAGGGATTTATGAGGGGGAAGGTCTGTGCGGGGATAAAGGAGGAGGGAGCAGGAGAAAGTGGAGACAGAAGTTCTGACACCTGTGAAAGGAAGGTGGCTTGGGCTGAAGGTGTCTCAGACTTCAGTGCAGTTACAAGAAAGCTTTGGCCAGGTGGATGAGGAGTTCTGGAGTCAAAGTCGACCCCTGGAGAAGTCCCCCTTCTGTGCTCAGTCACTGGCTGGGAGCAGCTCATGGAAGTATGGTCTTGATGTGAACATGGTGGCGAATCCAGAGGGCAGCATCTGGGTCACTTATGCCCCCCATAGCAGGAGATCTGAGCAGCACATTTTGTGACCGCCATGAAGATCGCCTCCATCTTATTCATGAAAAAGGAGCCTGAGTGTTTTCTCCAATTCATTTATCCGGTTAACTAACACCTGGTCATTGCAACCCAGAGAGAGATTAAAATTACTTCACACCCAAAACTGAAATATAATACTTGGCTAACTAATGATTTTCTTGTCTCAATGCTCAACTAACAAGCCAAACACATTACTTACTTTAAAGAGTTTATCTTGATCACAACTTTATTAACTGTTTTGTCTTTTAGCTCTAATTTTGGATTTCAAAAGTTTTGCATTTCAGGCAGAGAGCGAAGCACAATTGACACTTTCATGCAAATTGAATCTAACAAAGGGCCTCAGATGTCAGTCCACAGATGTGTTTGGCTCACACAGTGTTTAAAAAAAATATTGGGGGGTCAACATTTTAAAATTGGGAGACACATTTTTTTTTAAATGTTGATTTTGATTTCTTCTCTTGAAAACCACAGATCTGGAACACTGAGCCTGAATTTCTGCATGACAGAATTATCTAGGGTGAAAGTGGCTGCCACTCAAAGTGGGGCTTTCCTATTTGTTTCAGGACCTACCCCCCACATAAAATATGCATATGCCCTTATACCCAGCAGGCTTCGCTGATTTATGGTCCTGTCTGATTGTGCAGAGAATGCTAACTGTGCCTCAATATTATATTCTCCCCTTCTTCTATAGTGATGTTCCAGCTGTACTCATGACTGCCCATCTAGGACTACATTTCCCAGCCTCCCTTGCAGTTAGGTGTGGTCATATGACTAAGTTCTGGCCAATACTGTGCAAATGAAATGGATGTTTGGAACTCCAGACTGCTTTTAAAGAAAAGCAGGATGCCCTCTCTTGCCCCTTTTCTTTTTCTTACCAGCTGCAAAGTGGACGTGATGGTGGGAGCTGGAGCATCCATCTGATATCACAAGATGGAAGCTACGTATTGAGAATAGCAGAGCAAACAGGAGGAAACTGGGTCTCCAACATCAAGGAGTTACATACCAGCTCTGGAAAACCTATGCTCCGACTGTTACATCAGGAAAATGAACTTCCATTCTTAGGTCTCTTTTTCACAGCAGCCTCAACACTATCTTAACTAATACAACCCTGTTTGCAATTGAGTCTGTAGCACTTGGCTTAATTGGAATTGAGGTATATAAAGGAAAAGAAAATGTATGATTCTGCAAGTTGTTTTTCCTTGTAAATGGGACCTATGTGGCCAGTATTTAATTGCAAATCAAATTTCACTGACAGCTGAGATGGGACATAATTTTTTTTATGGTTAAAGCAATATTGGAAAGCCCTGGCCATGTCTCACAGGCTCTGTTTGCAGGTGGTGCCATTTTCTGTCTGTGGATAATTTGTCCACATGGCTCCTCAGGGGCTACTATATCCACAGCTACATGTCTCAGGTCCACAGGCTACATTCTCATCTCTTCTTCACCTCCACCTTGTCTTTGAAGGCCTCACTTGAGCAGGCAGCCCTCCCACCTTTTCTAGTCACTGCCCTCTGAGTGAAAGAGAAGTAGAAACTTCTTGGTTGGTACTGTTCTGGCTTCCAGGGGTCCAAGAGAGGCTTCTAGTAAGTGCGAAACCACTGAGGATCCTCACAGTTTCTATCTGAGGAGACCCTGCTGTATTATGTGAGGGTAAAGGGCTGTTTATGAAAATGATGTATGACAAAAAAAGAACTTACTACTCCCCAGAGGCAGGTGTCAAAAATGGCATGTTATTGTGTCCTTTAGAATGATGAATGAAAGTACTGAATGAAATTTGGGTAATAATAATGCCAAACTATTTAGTTTTCCTGTGACAGAGGTCTCCAAACTGGGACTATTTTGGGGAACAGAACAGGAGAAGAAAAATTATTGATTAATGAGCACTTAATGTGCCATAAATGTTATGTACATTTTCTCATTTAATTATCTGAAAAATCCTATGAGGTAGCATAACTCTTTTTTTCTTAAAGCAGAAGTGCTAAGAAAAGTTAACTTGACAAAGATCACACAGTTAGGAAGTAAAAAGCCAGAGTTTTGACACTCTGGTGACCTATGTTCATTCCATATCATGCAGCCTTATGGATGCTCTAAGGCTGGCCTGATCAGAAAGAGGAGACAAGCGAGATCATGGACCAAACTGCTGGGGACGGAAGTATCTGGGTAAGGAGGGTAACCTGTAATGGAGGCAGGAAAACAAGAAAAGAAAGTAGGAGAGAGACACGTTGAAAAGACTATATACCTGCATCAGATCATCCTAAGGCCTCCATGCTGTACAGAAGATCAGAATGAGTGCAACTCTCTGGGGAGGGATTACCTGGCAGCAAGATGAGAAAAATCTGAAAAATAAATTTTACTACGCTCTTTACATTGAAGGATATTGCTGACTAATTGGTTGGTATGATATGGAGTAGCAAAGGAATTACAACTTAATAGTTAGCCAGACAGAGGAAAGTTTCTACTTATTTAAATAACTATGCTTTTCCCACACCTGGCAGATTCTTTTGTTTTGACATATGTACCCTGGTCATTCTTTTAGATGGATGCCTCTATGTCCATTCACAGTGTTCTGCAAGATCAAAGGGGGAGTTCCCAAAGCAATGTTCTGGGACAAGTAATGCCATCAAACGTGAAGCAAAATTGTATCATTTTTCCTTTTTGTTTAATGATCTCTTACCTTCTGCCTCTTCAGAGAAATGGTTCATCTCTATTCACATTTAGTGGTAAAATATTTTCTAATAGCATCAGCAAAACCCCATTCGAAGTCAATGACCAGCTTTTTAGACATAAGACACATGCCAGTTCTGTTTGGCACAAAGTAACTACTAACAGATCTAATGTAGTTCCTTCTCTCTGGGCCACTGACGGGTGTCTGACAGCTCCAAACTCCCTCAATATTAAGTCAATTAGTTAGATGGATAAAATCCTCAGAAATGGAGAGGTTGTCTAAGATGTAGCTGTTTACATTTCAGTGGTGGTGGGGTCCCAGCCTGGGGTCCCATCAGGCTGTAAGGAGAATGGTGTCCTCTCCCCGGTGTCAATCAAGCTCTTTCTACAGAATGAGTCTCAATTGACCGAATACCATTCTCCAGACAGGAGCAGGGAAGGATATAAATAGAAACACTGAAATGAAAAATGCATTCAATACACCTAACCTACTGAACTTCCTAGCTTAGCCTAGCCTAACTTAAATGTGCTCAGAACACTTCTTTTAGCCTACAGTTGTGCAAAATCATCTAACATAAAGCCTATTTTATAATGAAGTGTTACATAACTCATGTAATTTATTGAATACTGTACTGAAAGTGAAAAACAGAATGGCTGTCTGGATACAAAATGGTTGTAAGTGCATCGGTTGTTTACCTGTGAGATCGAGGGGCTGATGGGAGCTGAGGCTCGCTGCCCATGCCCAGCATCACAAGAGAGGATAATGCTACCCTGGAAAATATCAAAATTCAGCATTTGAAATTACAGTTTCTACTGGATGCCTATCACTTTTGCAACATCATAAAGTTGAAAAATCATAACTCGAACCATCGTTAAGTCCGGGACTGTATGTAGCTGGGAACCGGAAAATACATTGCCTCACCAAGCTCTCTGACTTAAGTCTTTTGCCTGCCTTGTACTGATAAAAACAGAAATGCAACCCTCAGGTCCATGGACAACAGTTCTCCATCACCGTGACCCTGACCTAGTGGAGAGGAAGTGAAACTAATTTGGGCAAAGACATGTCCTGTCTGTCCTGTCCGTTCTTCCTGTGTGGCCCTGGGGTAGAAGCAAAGGGTTTTGCATGTTGGGCTAGAATACTAGGGAAAGAGGAAACAGTGTCTAAAGAGGGACTTTGAGGTCAGGGATAGTTCAAATATAAAAATTTCCTTTTGCTCTTTCACCTCACCTTTTCTTTTCTTTTTTAAAGTGAAGTTTCCAAGTAGAAAAGGCAATATTTGCCAAGTGGTACAGTTTACTTCATGCTGATTGGGTTCTGAAAATGAAGGCCCTCTTTACTCTGGCAGTAATTTAAAATAATAATAATGGTAGTGTATTTTAGCACTAGGTTACAGGTTCCTCATTTAATGCTGTGATAACCCTCTGAAATGGGGATTGTTATCCTCTCTTATGAATGGGGAAATTGAAGCTCAGAGGGGGTAAGTGGTTTGCCCTCAGTCACTAAGCTGGTCAGTGACAGAGTCTGGGGTTTACTCTTTCTACCACACCTGTCACCATAATTCTCAGGTATGAGCAGCTACTTCGTGTTAAGGTTTCTATTCCCATCAGTCCTCTGGACTCAACGTGATAAGCACATGTTACTCTGCTTCCCACAGGTGTGTTGTGAGGCTCCCCAGAAACTTCAGTCCCTCCTCTCTCCTGGTGCAGGCAGAACTACAGACAGCTGAATTTCTTTATCATTACCTTAGATACAATAAAAATTCCCAAAGGGAATTTTCTTCCTGACGTGGAGTTGGCAGCCTTTATTCATAAGGGATGCATTGGAATGTTCTGTTTTGGTGAGGAGACATTCTTAGAAATTGAAGACGAAGAAGAAAAGGGAGGAAGTGGGGGGAGAGCTGAAGGGAGGATGTTCACGTAGGGCCGGGAGTCTTGGCTCTTCTTCCTCCTTCTCTTTAGCTTTAAGGGTCTCTGCCTTCCTTCTCTGGAGAGAAAGCAAGGACCACTGCCTTTTAAATCAAACAGACCTTAGTTCTGTTAAAAAAGAGACAACAGGCCCCAAATGGAGTCACTTGTGCTAAGCCCATGTCATCAAACCGAAACTTAATACCTAACCTAATTGCAGTTTCAATATCCCCCAGGAATGTCATCTCAATTCCAGTTTGGGATTTTCTGGTCAGCACCAATGAAGTAATCTGCCAAGTAGACCCTTTTTCATTCCCCAAAGGAAGATGAGGTAATTGCTCTTTCCTTATCCCTTCCCTGTCCTGCCTGTAAAAGTCTTCCATTTTGTACAGCTCCTTGGAGCTGCTTTTTATTTGCTAGATGGGATGCTGTCTGATTCATGAATTGTTGAATAAAGCTAATTTGATGTTCAAATTTACTCAGTTGAATTTTGTTTCTTAACAGTTCAAATCTCAGCTCTGGTGAAAACTCTTGAGGAAGCTATTTAACCTCAGTTTTCTCATCTATAAAATGGGCTAGGGACTTCCCCCATGGCTCAGTGGTTAAGGATCTGTCTGCCAATGCAGGGGACATGGGTTTGAGCCCTGGTCTGGGAAGATCCCACATGCCACGGAGCAACTAAGCCCATGTGCCACAACTACTAAAGCCCACGCGCCTAGAGCCTGTGCTCTGCAACAAGAGAGGCCACCGCAATGAGAAGGCCATGCACCGCAACGAAGAGTAGCCCCCGCTCGCCGCAACTGGAGAAAGCCCGCACACAGCAACAAAGACACAATGCAGCCAAAAATAAATAAATAAATAAACTTAAAAATAAAATAAAATAAAATGGGCTAATATTTGTATCTTCTTTGTTGGGTCATTGGGGAGACTGAATGCAATGTTTCTCTAAGCACGATATGCATATAGTTTTTCTGGTGATACATTTTTTAGTGTAATAATTAAGCCACATATAGATAACTATCACGCCAAACGTGTCATTTCACAGGTCATATTGCTTAGGGAAAGGCTAAGTTAAAAAAAAAAAGCAATCCAATTTAAGTCTATTTTGATAAAATATTAAACGTGTGATGTGGAGATGGCAAAACGTGGTAGGGAGGGAACCCTGGGCCAGTATGAATGCTGCTGGGAAGTGACTCCTTCCCCACTCCTCCTGGTTAAGGAGGGCTACTTTGGACAAAGAAAACCTGGGAGACCCAGGTTGAATGGGAAGGCTGGGTTACTCTGGGGCCCTGGAGTTAGCTGCCCTGTGGAGTCCCTGGAATTTCACCTCCCACTGCTGCCCTCTCTTGGTCGTGGGCTGGCTCCAGTGTCCTGAGTACAAGTCAAAGTTGACCCAGGGCGATCTATCACCCAGCACCCATGCACTGCCCTTTCTGGCCCCTTTCTCACCTCTTCTCACACTGCTTCTGAAACTCCCCCACCCCCATCAGTCCCACCCCACCTTGGCCTACCCTCCCCAGTGTCACTGTCTCCCCCAGATAGTCACAACAACTGCCCTTTCCCAGACTCCTTACAAATCAGCAGAGGACCTTCTGATTCTCAGGTGTGAACCACTAATGAGCTTAGCTTTCCCAGGCGACATTTGTTTTAAAAGAGGAACTGGTTTAAACTAAATGAAGTCAAATTAACAAGAAGTGCAGTGGCTGTATTTTGGGGATGGGGATCCTTCTTTGGCTCTCACCTTTCTTTATGAAACATATCCTTCTCTTTAAGTAGGCATCTAGATCCAGGAAATAAAATCCTTTCATTTCTTTCCAAGAAATTCTACAAGCTTTCAAAATAGTTTTACTGCTGGTATAAGAGTTACATTATTTTGCTTGAGACTAACAACCCGAAATAACACTGGTTTAAAAAAGATTTTAAAATATTTCTCTCTTGTGTGAATAGAGGCAACCCAGGGCTGGTATGGTGGGTCCCTGAACACCAGGTTCCTTCTATTTTGTTTTTTCACCCTCTTCAGTGTGTGGCTTCCACCTTGTGGCCCAAGATGGCTGCTCCAGCTCCAGACCTTGGGTCGGCATTCCAGTCACTGGTCGGGAAGGACGGTCCAGAGAAGGGTACCCTCTAGTCCTTTAAAGCACTCACCACCTTCCTTTACATCTTGCTGGCCAGGACTCGGAAGTGAATTCATTGTAAAGCATACTAGTAAATGTGACATTTTTTCCTGAGCAGCCTATGCCCTGCTAACATTTGGTATTTTATTACTGAAGAATGGGAGACTGGGTTTTGGAGGCAATTAACATCTCTTCCATAAGCCTATTCCTAGGGTTGTGAGAAATGTTCAGACCCAAGTAGGAATGGATCCCAGGACTAAAATTAGGCTCTTACATTTCTCTTCTGCCATTGTGAAAATGCCACTGGTGTAAGGGACAATGCTTTAGACGACAGCCAGGTCACTGAGGGTCTAGTTCCAGCTCTGCTGCTAGCCAATGTCATGGCCTTGAGAGAGAAGTCTAACATTCCAGGGCCTCAGTTTCTCTAAAATAAGGTTACATAATTTGATCTCCAGGGTCCCTTCCTGCTCTAATATTATGACTTCATATAACAGTGTCTTGATGTCTGTAACCAAGCAGTTAAATAGAAAATAACATATGCTTTTGTCTGTGATCATTAAATGCTGTGGGCAACTAAGGGTAGATTACCAATTGCTGGCCCCCAGGTATCCTTTTTTTTGGGGGGGGGTACCCGGGCCTCTCACTGTTGTGGCCTCTCCCGTTACGGAGCATAGGCTCCGGACGCGCAGGCTCAGCGGCCATGGCTCACCGGCCCAGCCGCTCCACGGCATGTGGGATCTTCCCAGACCGGGGCATGAACCCGTGTCCCCTGCATCGGCAGGCAGACTCTCAACCACTGCGCCACCAGGGAAGCCCCCCAGCTATCCTTTTAACCTTGTCATCCTTCCACAAGACTCCTTCCTGCAGGAACTGGCTTGAGATGGAGTTGTTGGCCAGGAGACCCACTTTATTTTCCATTGAGTTTTGGAAGCTGGAGGGCTAAAACCACCAACAAGGAAATTCATGGTTGTAAAGTTTCTGTTTATATCTGGTAGTAGTGGCTGCAACTGCCCATCTCAAACCGCTGGGACAGGAAGCATATGCAGCCAATTGATAAAGAGGGTATCTGCTGTAAGCATGCTAATCTTGAGGAAATGGGGATCTCAAGGCACCTGGATTAGCCACAGACCAGAAAGGGGCCCTTTTAGTGTTCCTTTCAGTTGCTAAGACACGTTATGTTTGAAAAAACACCTCCTCCGCCACCCAGATGGAGAAAAACATAAGCTGCCATTGCTTAACTTCCTTACAAATAACCAACCAACACTAGCATCTGTGCCTTAATACATGACTAATCTGCAAACAAAAATGCCGCCTTGTCTGCTTCTTGGGGCCAGAAAGTGGACCAGTTCACTGGCTGGTCACCAGGGCTGTGAGATATTACTTTTCTAGCTCTGTGTGACATAGTGGATGAGCTATACATGGCGGCAGGAAGAGGACAAAATTGGAGATCCAACCAGGAAATGAGGCACCAGTCTACATGCCTGTTGGACCGTCAGCCCCAGGGAGACTTGCTCCTGATTTGAGAGAAACTCCCCAGAGACTGGCCTGTCTCATGAGGAGGACGGGCACTCCCACATGTAGCATCTGGAATCACATCTTCCTTTTGACTAGGATGAAGACTCAGGGTTAGGAAGACAACTTTGCATCTTTGGTGAGCAGGACTCTAAGAGGTGCCAGCAACACTTCTCTTCCGTTTGGATCTACATATCTGTGTGAAGCGTCTCTTGCTGCAATGACAATCCTTAAAATCAACCACTGAAATAAGCTGAACCCCAGAATAACTGTAATAGAAGATGTTAAGCTAATATTTTTAAATATAATGAAGCATAGTCAATCACATTGCTCTTATCAAAAGAGTAAAATGGGGCTTCCCTGGTGGCACAGTGGTTGAGAGTCCACCTGCCGATGCAGGGGACAGGGGTTCGTGCCCCCGTCTGGGATCCCACGTGCTGCGGAGCGGCTGGGCCCGTGGGCCATGGCCGCTGAGCCTGCGCGTCCGGAGCCTGTGCTCCGCAATGGGAGAGGCCACAACAGTGAGAGGTCTGCGTACCGCCAAAAAAAAAGCAAACCACAATGAGGGACTTCCCTGGTGGTCCAGTGGGTAAGAATCTGCCTTCCAATGCAGGGCACGCAGGTTCGATCCCTGGTCGGGGAACTAAGATCCCACATGCTGCAGGGCGACTAAGCCCGCCCCCCACTACTAGAGAAGCCCATGCGCCGCAACAAAGAGCCCGTGCGCTGCAACGAAGCGAAGACCCAGCATAGCCAAAATAAAAACAAACAAACAATAAACAACAACAAAAAACTCACAATGAGATGTCAGTTCACGCCTCTTAGGATGTTATTTCAAAAAGACAATAGGTAACAAATGCTGGAGTGGATGTGGAGAAAAAGGAACGCTTGGGCGCTGTTGGTGGGAATATAAACTGGTGCAACCACTATGGAAAACAGCATGGAGGTTCCTCAAGAAATTCAAAATAGAACTGCTGTATGATCCAGCAACCCCACTCCTGGGTATATCTCCAAAGGAAATGAAATCATTATCTCAAAGAGATAGCTGCACTCCCATGTTCACTGCAGTATTATTCACAATAGCCAAGTTATGGAAACAACCTAAGTGTCTGTTGATGGATGAGTGGATAAAGAAAATGTGATATATATATATATATATATATATGGATTATTATTATTATTATTGAATATTATTCAACCTTTAAAAAGAAAGAAATCCTGCTATTTCCAGATTCATCCCAGGTATTATGTTAAGTAAAATAAGCCAGACAGAGACAACATGGTATCACTTATATATGGAATCAAATAAATAAATAAATAAGGTCTCAGAAACAGAGGGTAGAATTGTGGTTGCCAGGGCCTGGGGAGTAGGGGAAATAGGGGAGGGATTAGTAAAAGAGTAGCGACTTCAGGTTAAAAAAAAAAAAAAGAACAACAACAGAAATTCTGGAGACCTCCGTAGACCATAATACTAATTCCAGGGGTAAAGCTGTTGCTTTTGTCACCATCTGTTCCCTCTGCCAGCAAAAGTATGATGTGAGTGTAGCAGTGTAGATTCAGGTCCACCACTGGGAGCCCAGCTCACTGAATATATAAGAAGTTCTGTTCACAAGAAATAAGTGATAGTATGTCATCTAGTGGAATATTATCAACTCCTAAAAAGAACAGATCAATTTAGGTTGATGTAGAAAGATGTCCAAGATACAATAAGTGAAAAAAGCAAGTGGTAGAACAATGTACAGTGTCAAATAAACAAACAATATATATGTTCTTCTATATTCATAGAAAATTTCTGGTAGCAGTGGTTACCTCTAGGAAATGGTACTAGACAGAATAGAGACAGAAATTTATGTTTTAATGTACTGTTTAAATGTTTTTTAAAAAATCATAAATAGGGAGTTCCCTGGCAGTCCAGTGGTTGGGACTTTCATGGCTGAGGGTCCAGGTTCGATCCCTGGTCCGGGGAGCTGGGATCCCACAGGCCACACAGCGGAGCCTAAATAAATAAATAAATAGGGCTTCCCTGGTGGCACAGTGGTTAAGAATCCACTTGCCAGCGCAGGAGACACGGGTTTGAGCCCTGGTCTGGGAAGATCCCACATATCACGGAGCACACAACTGCTGAAGCCCCGGGTGCCCTAGAGCCCGTGCTCTGCAACAAGAGAAGCCACGGCAGTGAGAAGCCGGCGTACCACAACGAAGAGCAGCCCCTGCTTGCCGCAACTAGAGAAAGCCCACACGCAGCAACGAAGACCCAATGCAGCCAAAAATAAATAAATAAATTTATAAAAATAAATAAATAAATAATAAACCATAAAAGGTTCAATTTTTTTTTTTAGGTTCAATGTTTTTAAAAAAGGTTTTAAAATGATCAGGCTTCTTGAAACTCCTTTTATGATTTTATCCTAAGGAAATAGTAAATGTTTTATACTAAGATGATCATGACAACATTTATTTTAATGGTGTAAGACTGGAAATAACCTAAATGTCTAGCATGAAGAGAATGGTTAAGTAAATAATGGAAAATGGACTGTAATATAATGCAGTCATTTAAAAAATAAATTTTCTGAACATTTTAGCCAGATGGGGAAAGGCTGACACTATGTTAAGTGGAAAAAACAAGTTGCTCTGTGTAAATTCAGTATTGTATCAATGACGTTACAAATGCATAGGAAAAAAATAGCCTGGAAGAAAATATTCCCAAATGACAAGAGTGATTGCCTCTGATAGTAAGATTATGGGGGATTTTTCTCTTTCTGGACCTTTATATTTTCATATTCTTTTCAATTTTTGTGCAATGAGCATGCGTTGTTTTGTAATGTGGGAGAAAAAGAAAGTAAAATACTGAGAAAACCATTACATGCATTCCTGGCATGAGTCAGGAGCTGAATTTTCATGTTTAAATTAGTTTCAGAAACACAGGAGTGGTTTCTAGGCAACCTGCTTGGGAAATCATGTTCCTTTCCATTGTTGCTGGAGTGTGCATGAGTGTCTCAAAGAAAATGTAAGAGATGAACCCTTGCGAAAGCAGTCTCCTTCAAGGAAAAACAAGCTTTGTCACGGGGACTTGAGTCATTGTGACCCCAGAGACACATAGGGATCTGAGATATTTTTGGGTTTTTTTCTGACGAATGAGTGCTTGATTTTAATGAGGATTGCCATAGGTAAGTAGAGTAGGATAGCTATTCAAGTCTCTGCAAATGGTGTGGGAAATTGGGGTAGGGGGTGGGGGTGGGGAACAGGAGCCCAAACCAATCACCCCAGGTAGATGGCTTTCCTAAGAATCCAGGGCTGTGGATTCAGACAGTGGTGAGGCTTTACAAGATGGATTGCAGCGCAAGATGTGAAAAGATTGCCTCGTCATCCGGTGAGCCATTTACCGTCATTATAGACAATATAATGCTGAGCCAAAGGGCTTTTAATCAGGAGGAAACACTGAAAAATGGAACCAGAGCTAAGAAACCCTTGGCCCATCAGACTGGGCTGAGTCAAGAATGATTTTTTAGCTTTAAGGGAGCCATGTTCTTTACAAAGAGTTTGTACAAGATGCAGAAAGTACTGTTCTTAGCCCACAGTGTATGCTTTGTTGACCTCAACTACATTTTTCAGCAAGAAAACAAAAGGCATTCTGCCTGCTAAATGGGATCAGAGCTCAGTTTCTTGCTCCTACACCCCCTAGTGGTTGCCTTTTGTAATTACAAAAATTAAGTGAGGAAGTAAATAGCAGGCATTTGGGGTAATGATAGCAGTTGACTAAGGGTTAGTGCCTTTGACCTTGGCTCCCTCTAGATTTCATCAAAGCTCAAGGGGGAAGCTGTGGCCTCAAGAGGTACAGATGCACTTCCTAATAGAAGGTGGGACCGGAGGGCAGGAATCCTCCACAGAGGATGTTAAGAGCTTATTTTGTCTCCAAACTTGTGAACCCATGTCCTGAATTCCACCTAGTTGTGGTCCACTGGGTCTGGCCACCTCTGCTTTAAAGTGACAGATACCTGGAGGGTAAAGGAAGAGGGGGACTAATATTTACCTACCCTTCCTCATGTGGTAGCCCTTGAGGGCAAGACCCTTTTCTTTCTGTCTTTGTACTCCAGGGCTTAGCACATGTGTTTGTGTGAAATGTTTGTGGTCTTGAATGCTATATGTAGCCCATGAGGTAGATAATACTACCCTTGTTTTTCCAGTGAGGAAACTAAAGTGCAGAGAGGTTCAAGTATGCCTGAGATATCTATCTAATAAATAGCAGAATAGAAATTCAAACCCCAAGTTCCAAAGGACCTGCTCTTTTCTTTCTACCAAGATGCCCCCTCCTGACACCTCATGCCCTCTGTCTTGCTGGTCCAAACTGTCGCGTGAAAGCCCCACTGTCTCTCTCCTTTGAGTCAGTCCACCCTGGGGGGCCAATGTCTTCCTTCTCTGAACTTCTCATTTGTCAGTGAGTCACCCCTTTAACTCTCTTACTATTATTCAACTTTCCTTAGAAGTTTGCTTTTTTCTCCAAACAGTCCATAAGCATCTTGAAGGACGGGGTAACATATTAATTTTTCTGTAAACTCTCTCCCAGCATTCAGTAAATATTTGCGGGAAGAGTGAATTTAACAGCAGAGTGTTGGTCAAAATATACCTCCCAGGGCCTGTTTGTACTAGGAAACTAGCAAAAAATTTTAATTTTTATCTGAAAACATTTATTCTCATCAAAAACACCTAATTAAGTGACTTTTTACCCCCCACCAAGGGGCTTGCAACCTAAGATAAATTAAATGCAGATCTCTTTCTCTAGGAACTTAGAATCTTGAGCACATACATAACTGGGCTGTTACAACACTGGATTTGGGTCAAAGGTGGAATCTAAATTCACTTAGACTCTTCTGTTCTAACTGGAATCTTTTGGTTCCCAGGACAAATACAGGGTCCTGCTCTGACAAGCTGGGACACTGATGGACCTGGGAACAAGTAGCTGGCTTCCCTGCCGGATGTATTTATCGCATTATGTACTGCAATATACCCAGGTTTGTTTCATCTTCCTCCTACGGCTGCCCTCCAGGGAGCCATGCCTGGTACAGGTACATGCACAGTAAGATTAAGACCCAAAGCACTCAGCTCCCACTGTCCTCCCACAGGTGACATCAGACAGTGCCAGTCCTCAGGGGAAGCAGGCCAAGACTGCCAGGGGCAAGTGTGATGTGGGACGATGTCCACTGTTATATATTTCATGAACATTTATTGGGCACCTCTTTTATGCCAGACACTGGGGATATGGTGACAAATAGGGCATTTTAGAGGTGCTCAGTCTGGTTGCAGGGACAAACATGTAAACAAACGATTGGATACATATTAGAATAGACGTGCTTACGAGAAACCTCAAGAACACAGAGGAAATAGTACAGAATTCTGCCCCAGGAGGTTGGAAAAATCTTCATTGATTAGGTGACTCTCAAAATGTCTTGAAAGAGAAGTTGTTCACTGGTTGGCAAAGGCGGGATGAGTGTTCCAGGCCCAGGGAACAGCATGTACAAGAGCAAGGAGGCAGAAGGAGTGTAGGAAATCCACCTTGTTATGAACGCTACACGGAGATGGCCCGAGATGAGTCTGGTGGGGAAGGCGCTGAGAATATGAAGGTTCTCATCTATTTAGGGTGGGGCTCTGGCTCCGTCCTATGGATGATGGGGGAACCTGGAAGGATTTCAAACCACAGGGGGTATAACACAGATTTCTAAATATCTACATAATGTGAGGGCAGGACTAGAGGAGGCAGAGCCTGAAGTAGAGGGACCAGCGCGAGGCTGGCAATCACAGAAGTCCAGGCCATACTACTCTGTGTCAGGAGAGATAAGAGAGGCCATGTGGCCTTAGCTGATGGGACTGATGAAGCCTGGTGACAGATGGGCTGTGGTGGTTTGCTGTGGGGGAGTCTAGGACACTCCCAGTTTTGGCATGGGCAGATGGGAATGGTGGCCCCATTCACCAAAATCAGGAACACACGGCTGGGGTCGGAGAAGAAGGTCAGGGGAGCGGGTGAGTTACATTTTGGCCATGTCTAAAATTGCGTGTGGGACGTCCAAGCAGAGCTGCCTAGTAAGTGGTTGGTATGTGGGAGTCTGAGCTCCAGGAAGACGCTGGTTTCTGAGGGAAGAAGGCTGGATCAGGCTTCTCTCTCTGCAGACATTGAATAAACATTGTTTTGAGAAGCTAATTAATGATTACAGGGCACTGGGAAAACAGAACGATGTTGCAAAGTAAATGTGGATGCTCTTACAGTAATGGACTGGTGGTTGCAGAAAAGCTGAGGCTAAATAACACTAATTTTTTCCAGCTATAAATAGACCTTCTTCTGCAGTTGGGGTTTTCAATTCCACAGTGAAAAGAAATGCAGCAGTGGAAGCGAGAAAGAGGGTAGGAGAGACGGCATCTCGTGCCTACTGGGTACACATGTTAGCAAGGTCCAGCCACAGTGGATAAGGCAGGGATCTGATCCGGTGCCAAAGAGCTTAGAGTCTAATATCCTAGGTTCAAGTACTGATTCCTCAACTAACTGGTTAGGTGTCTGTAATAGATTATCAGATGTGTAGTAGATGTTTACTAACTGCTTTTAGAGATACAGTCACAGTTTTAAGCTCCTTCAAATTTCAGAACAGCCTCATGGTAGGTCCTTTATTAGGCTTCTTTTGGGGATGAGTAAACTGAACACAGAGAGTTTAAGTGACTTACCCAAGGCCACTCAGCTAAAAAGTGGCAGCTCCAAGATTTGAACCCAGACAGTCTGGGGCCAGAGTCCTTTCAGAAGCAATTAACTACTGTGTTATGCTGCCTTGCCATGTAAAAAAGTGCTTTGCAGAGCTTTCAGTTTCTTATCACTGCATGGATTTTGTGAAGGGCAAGTTGCATAATTTACATTAAGGCCTAAATCATAGGTAAATGTTTTCACTGTGTTCTCCCATAATTGTTCCTTCAAGGAAGCAGTGTTCAATGATTTGTCCCAGATCTTCTTTTCGGAGAAAGCTCTAGGGGTTCCTGTCATTGTGTGACTTTGGGTTCGCAGACCACAGAAGTCTCCCTGAGCAGCATTACCATTCAGCAGTAGAGACCGCTGTCTATTAAATTCAGCGTAATCATAATGGTCATGGGCTCACGAGTCAGAGAGACTTTGGTTCCATCCCAGCTCTGCCACTTGGGTGTGTTACTTAAAACTCTCCAAGCCTGCTTCCTCTGTCTGTTCATGGGATAATACTAATAACTCCCTAGGGCTATGAGGATTACAGACAGTGGTAAGGAGATCACTATCTAGGGTAAGAGTCATTAAGTGCTCTAAGACACAAATAGACATGTGAAATGGGGGAAGCACACATTCTAGGAGAAGGGAACTGCAGAAGTCTTGCTTTGACAGGGAACTCCGAGTGGCTGATACACTAAAAGAATCAGCAAGGGGACTTCCCTGCTTGCGCAGTGGTTAAGAATCCACCTGCCAATGCAGGGGACACAGGTTTGATCCCTGGTCCAGGAAGATCCCACATGCCACGGAGCAACTAAGCCCTTGCCCCACAGCTACTGACCCCGCGTGCCTAGAGCCCGTGCTCTGCAACAAGAGAAGCCACTGCAATGAGAAGCCTGCGCACCACAACGAAGTGTAGCCCCCACTCGCTGCAACTAGAGAAAGCCCGCGCGCAGCAACGAAGATCCAATGCAGCCAGAGGAAAAAAAAAAAGAATCAATGAGACTGTCTCGTAAACGTATTAAGCAATTAGCATTCTTTTAATTCTTCAACAGTCAGTATTTCTCTCTCTATAGGACGTATATAACTAACAAAGCAAAACTTATGACTTTAAGAAAATAATTTTCCCTAAACATTTAAGCATTGATTCCAAACCTAAATTAAATTCTTTCATCCATTTAATTAAAATCACAACATGACACGCTGGATTTTCATAAATGCGTCAAACGCCTTAAAAAACTGACAAAACACACACTAAGTATTGTAATGGCTACAGAAATAATCATGTACGATTTATTTAAAAATTGCTACTATCAAGGATTTAAGGTTGTTTGTTCTCATCTCCATTGTTAGCCATATTTTAATTCTTATTTTTATTTTATACCTTCCTGGAATTTCTATTTCTACACCAATTTATGGTGGCAATAATCATACACCTCACCCCTCCCCTACCAATACCAAAAAAAAAAATCAGACGAGCCAAAGTGGCAGATTCTGAGTTATCACATGATTGATTCTTAGTGAGGAAACTGGACTAGCAATTCAAACCCTCACAATTAGTCTTTAGGTTGAGCCTTTTAAAGACAATCAAGTCTCATTTCTGATGTCATGGAACTTTTAAGTCCCTTTTAAGTTCAAAGAGATTCTGAGTTTTGGAGACCAGAAGCATGCATTCTTTAAAATGTTCACAATCAATATTCCCCATCCCATAATTCAGCCATTATAATATATTGATCTGGTCTGTTGCTGTAATTGGCAACTTAGGCATGTTTTATATCTAAAGCATATGCACTATAATGATGTTCATTATAATGATAGCATCACCTAGAACCTTGCTACTTAAAGTGTGGTCCATGGACCAGCAGCATCAGCATCATATGGACAAAGAATCTCATTTCAGACCAACAGGCTTAGAATCTGCATTTTAACAAGACCTCCTTCTACCTTGTGATTTGGTTGCATTTTAACATTGAGAAGCCCTAATATAAAGAATTCATCTACCTGGAGATGATGGATCAAGCCTGCAATTGGCACTCCTCTTTGGGTCATGCAATTCATTTATCTTCCTGAAACCCACTATTGCTCCCCCTCTTTTCTTATAGTTTGAGACTTTATTTTAACTGCTAAGATTTCTACTACATTGACTGAGAGAAGTGGGCCTGGGACTGAATCTGAGGAATCCAATATTGAAGGAGCGGGGAGATGAGGACAAGTTGCCCAGAAATCTAGGAAAAAACCAACAGAGTCATGGGAAAGGCCTTTCAAGGTCATATTTGTCAGGTTCTCTTATCACACTGAGGAGCATGTAGTAAGCCCTCCACAAACATCAGACATTGTTCCTGTTGTGATTATTAGTAGTAGTAATTAAAAAATGAAGAACAGGGCTTCCCTGGTGGTGCAGTGGTTGGGGGTCCGCCGCCGGTGCGGGGGACGCGGGTTCGTGCCCCGGTCCGGGAGGGTGCCCCATGCCGCGGAGCGGCTGGGCCCGTAGGTCGTGGCCGCTGAGCCTGCGCGTCCGGAGCCTGTTCTCCGCAACGGGAGAGGCCGCAATGGTGAGAGGCCCGCGTACCGCAAAAAAAAAAAAAACAAAAAACAAAAAACAAAAAATGAAGAACCGAGGCTATGTTAGACAAGCTGGGGAAACCCAAGAAGCATCATCACTGAGATTTCCCATAAGAGCAATATTTCCGGACCCTTTGAGGAAGGATCTATGGTCCCTCTAGGGTGTTGAATGAAGAAGGGCTGATTTGTAGAATAAACTCAGAAAAAAATTAAGGTCAGAGGAAATAGTCTGTTCATTGGAGTGTTTACATTTCTTTCTGAGGGCAGGGTGAGTGGTGTGAAGGGAGAGGATGATAACATGTCTAAGTAAACTGATTTTTAACAAATGGCATGACTTTTCCACCACTTTGTTTTCTGGACCTTGACCATAGCATTTCATGCATTTTTTAAAAACATAAGCAAATGGTTTGAATACTGTTTTCAAAATTCCTGCCCAAAAGAAGTGAGATATCTAGTCCTACAAACCCCGTGAAGAGTTAGTTCCTCTGAGACCTGATTGTGCTCTGTTAGAAATTGATCTGGCTAAGAGATGAGGACAGAATAACGCAGGAACATTCTAGAAAGTATATTGATTAGGACACACTGACTCTAATAATCTACTTCATAGCTTAAATCTATTGGTAGGCTGTAGTATCATAAGCATTTAGCTATTAGAAATCCTAGATGAACGGATGGATCTCTAAAGAGTTGGCATTTGACACTGTTACATTTCAAGCTGTTTTTCTGTGCCATCTCTTT